TCCATTTAACAGAATTTAGGATAAATTATTATAATTTATGCACTATAAAAACATTCCTGCATGTGTATTATCTCAGTAGTATAACAGTAGATTAAATAGATTAAATAAAAGATAAAACTTTACTTTTATTATGTGATTGTTTTAACATCGCTTTTCGAGAGATCGCAAAAAGTTCGAAATAGGTTAAATTTACAGTCGAACTTATRATGAACGGAGGTCCGTTTATAATCATTTTTAGTACACTATGATTAATCACTTTAGGGCTTAAAAAGGCAAAAACTCATATCTCTAAAGTGACCTCCCCAGCGACTAAATGACTTACTCCAAAACGCGATTCCCGAGAGACTTTTATYAACCGAAGCGAGTTAAAACGTGACAAACGGTTGACTGTTTCTTTTATAAATCTTTTTACAATGCATTGAAAAATAAATGATCAAACATAAAAAACGAATTATATGAATGAAAATTTGCTTCGCTATATTTTACTAACAACTCTAACCCATTTTGCTAACATGTTCGGTTTGAATGAGCGAATAATAATTAAAATAATGAGTTCCCTTCCTTCCTGTAATCACTGTTATTTGCTATATATATATGTATATACGTATTAAAATTATTGATGATGAATTAACGAATTTTCAAATTAATAAGCAAATTACAAGAATATTTAAAATATATTGTGGTTGAAATACTCTGTTATTATGAATTTATGACCGTATATTATATTATATCGACAATTAGTCACCATAGAGACAAGAAAGACTATTGCGTTAAAATTCTTTCTATTTGAATTGCATCGAATGTGTAGATAATATGTTATCATATATTATACATGCAAGTGTTATTTTATTATTATATAATATAAGGTATATAGTTTTTCTATAGTTTTCGATGTTTGCACGAAAAACATAATATTAGAACTTAAAATAATAATGATCATGCATATTTATTGTTTAAAGTAAATATGTTTTTAAATTTTGTTTATTTAAGTTATGTTTATTTGGTCTATTATAACATTATTATCTGCATCAATGCTAGTGTTTTTAGTTCATTATCTGTGCTAAATAAAAATGATTAGTTGATCTAAATAGATACGTACTTGAATTATAAAATACATGCTTGGTGCATATCCTAATATATA